TTTGTTGATATCTCACTTCCGGGCCGTGGAGGGATTTGCTCATGAAGTAAATCAGTTTCTGCCCGTTAGGGGTTTCTCGGATCAGCGCGATGCTCACGACCTCATTTGACACGACCAGGTACAAGTATAGGGTTTCCCCGGCCTCGGGCCTCGTCAAGACAGGCGGTTCTGATAGGAAACGTTTGAGGTGGAGGAGGGCTTGTTAGCATTCCTCTGTCCACTCGAACACGGCCTCCTTTCTCAGCAGCTTGAAGAATGGGAGGGCGTGATGTGCGGACTTGACAATGAAACGGGATGGCGATGCGAGCATTCCATTGAGGGACTGTATCGACTTCTTCGTACGTGGCGTTGCGATCTCGGAGAAGGCCCTGCATTTGTCCGGGTTCACCTCGATCCCCCGTTCGGTCAGGTAGAATCTGAGGAACTTCCCCGTGTGTACTCCGAAGGTGCATTTCTCCGAATTGAACCGCATCTTGCACCTCCTCGTCGTCTCGAAGACTTTCTTGAGGTGTGCCATGTGATCGACCTCCGTGCAGGACTTGATGATCATGTCGTCCATGTAGACCTCGAGCATGTTGCCAATATCTCCTCGGAAGACTTTGTTCATCATCCGTTGGTAGGTGGCGCCAACGTTTTTTAGGTCGAAGGGTATTACATTGTAGTAGTAGTTGCCCGACTCAGTCATAAATGCCTTGTTCTGTTTGTCGTCCTTGGCCATGGGGATTTGGTTGTACCCCGAATATGTGTCTATGAAGGACAGTAGTTTGAAGCCCGCCGAGTTGTTGACGAGCTTGTCGATGTTAGGGAGAGGATATGCGTCTTTAGGACATGCCCAATTGAGATCTGTGTAGTCAACGCATATCCTCCATTTTCCATTTGATTTTTTAACAAGTACAACGTTGGACAGCCATGTTGATCGGGCTTCCGAAATAAAATTTGCCTATAGGAAGTCTTTTACAGCTTTTTCAGCAACCGCTGACTTTTCGGGGGACTACCTACACCTACATTGTATTACGGCCCTAACGGCCGGGTTGACGGAGAGCTGGTGGCAGGCGACCTCGGGGTCGAGTCCGGACATCTCTGCGGCGCTCCAAGCGAAGAGGTCGGTGTTCTCACGGAGGCAGGCCTTTAGCTGTTTCCTCGCTAGGTCGGGTAACCCCGCCCCAATCTTTACGGTCTTCGTGGCGTCTGCCCCGAGGGTCACAATCTCGAAGTCTCCGTCTGGGATGGGGCGCGTTGGGTGGATAGGCTGCCCGTCGGTGGATGGAAGAGTGTCGTCGGCTTTGTCCTCGTGATCTGGCTCTTCGGCGAAACGGCAGTCGAGGTCTACGGCGTCGACGTGATCCTTTGGTTTAACCTCCTGAACGGGGGCGCGGGGGGGGGGGGGGGGGGGGGGGAGGGGGGCTTAGTTGCCTTGGTCGTGGGACCGATTGTACTAAGGCCCTTCATCATTGCGTCGAAGCACCGACGAGCAACTTTGATGTCCCTGTTGAGGGTGACGACGACTCCCAGCCTGGTGTAGTACTTCATCTTCAGGTGGACGGTCAATGGTACTGCGGTAAGTTCGGCCATCGTCGTCCTGCCCAAGATGCAGTTATACAGAGATGGGCATTAGACGACCAGAAAATGGACATTGATCTTCCTGGCCATTTCCTTTTCCCCGAATGTGACCTTGAGCTCCATATATCCCCATGGCCTCGTCGTTGTCCCGTTGAAGCCCTGGAGGTCGGAGCCTAGGTAGGGGGCCAGGTTGATCTCGTCGAGCTGGAGCATCGAGAAGAGGTGGGTGTACATGATGTCCACCGAGCTCCCTCCGTTGACCAAGATGCGTCGGACATTGAAGTTGGCCATTTGTGCCCGTATCAAAATGAGGATGGTCGAGTTAGGGGCTCCCCCGGGGAGCTCTTCGAGATAGAAGATGACCGGATTGGATCGACCTCGGAACTTGTGAGCATGTTCATCTTGCTGGAGCTGTTGCTCATTAGCTCGTCGAACTTCCTCTTAATCGATCCAATCGAGAGCTTGCTCGGGGTCCCGCAGGAAATAATCATTGCCTTGGGGAAGTATTCCCACCGGCTGGTAGGGCGTACTGGCTCCTCGGGTAGCTGGAGCTCGGCAGGGAGGCCGAATTCCCTTAGGGCGAACCAGTCCTTATGTCGACCAACACTAAGGGTCACCTGTAGGCTGGAGTCGTTGTTGGGAGGAGGGAGGTCTTCGAATTTTTTGGCCTCGGGGGCTTCTTGCCACGGGGGATCTCCTCCCCGAGTGTACCTCTTCAAATGTCCGTCCTTGATCAAAATTTCGATTGCATCCTTTAGGTGGATGCAATCTTCTGCCACGTGACCGTGGCTCCGGTGGAAGCGACAATATTTAGATTTGTCCACGTTGGCTAAGGTGGACGCCGGTTTTGGAAAACATACAGCCACCAGACAAATTCTGAATTGGCGCACTCAGCCAGTATGCGCTCGCGGGAAGCGACTAGTGCTGTGTATTCGGTGAAACAACCAACGGGGCCCCTCTGCTCGCGGGGTTCTCGGGGACGGTCCTCCCGTCTCCGGTCTCCCCCGTGTCGGTGGGCCGAGGCCCCTTCATCTCGGGACCCGCAAGGGGTTTCTCGGTTTCTAGTGTCACGGCCGGTGTTGGCGGCCTCTGTCTCCTTGAACCGGATGTAATGACGGGCTCTTTCGAGGAAGTCCTGGAGAGAGTCTGGCCGGTGGATGGCCACCGCATCATAGAATTTGGAGTCTCGGTGTAAGCCCTGTTCCATCAGGTAACGTTTTATCTCGCCCGACGTCGTTACCTGGACCGCCTCCCTCGTGAACCTCTCAATGTAGTTTTGGAGAGGCTCATCTGGGGCTTGGATAATCGCGCGCAGCGCGGCCTCCGTCTTCGGATGACGCCTTGACGCCGTGAAGTACCGTGAAAACAAATCCTTCAGGACTCTCCACGACATGATGGAATAAAGCTCCAGGCTCTTGTACCATGCCATGGCTCCCTTTCTCAATGTCGTCGGGAAGAGCCTACACTTGATGGCCCCTCGGACGTTCCTGTAGTCGAGCATAGCCTCGACGTCTTCTAGATGGTCGTCTAAATCCGAGGTGCCGTCGTACGTTGAGAGCATGGGTGGTTTCTCCATCTCGTGGGGGATGGGGGCTGCCATGATTTCCCGCGATAGAGGAGTCATGTAGTCGTCCTCGTCGCTGCGAACCGGGGATTGCGGAGGTGACGGTTCGTGTCGAGGAGGCGGGTTACGCCCCCTCGGTCTTCTGGTCGGGGCTTCAGGCCCGTTCGCCCTTGACTCCGGGGACCTCATCTCCTTCCGGGGTGGCGATCTTGCTCGTTTCTTAGAGGCCACTGGTTGGGGCCTCTCCAGCTGTGGTCGACGCCCCTGTGGTCGTGGAGAGGGGCTCCGAGAGCTCCCGCGCTGATTTCTCTGCGGAGGAGAGCGGGACGAGGTGTCGTGTTCCAACGCGCCGATGCGCTCATTTTGTTGGAACAACATTTGGTTCGTCTGGTTAATGGCCGCGAAGAGGGCAACCATCGTCAGGTCCGCGCCAGCCTGTGTGGGAATGAGCTGGAATATCGGCGGACTCCTCGCCCGAGGGATGACATGGCGTGCCGCATCCTCGAATGAAGGGGAGGCAGTTTGGCCGTCCCTGACGTCGGTCTCGCGGGGTTGAGAGGTCCCCGTTTGGTTGTCGCCATTGGTGACCGGTGTGAAGGCGGAACCGAGAACAGTGTCATCGTGGCGTGGGCTGGTCATGCTCTTGAGATTTGAGATAAGGGAGCTTTGGTTCTCTGCTCGGAGGAACAGGGAAGCTTAAATTCCCACAGACGGCGCCACTGGTCTGACCTGATCAGAAGGAGAATAATGACCCGCCACACGTCGTTAATCTACTAGCTGCTCACAAGGAATATAGACGAGGAGGGGGTGTACCTGCAAGATACTCCGATGCCAAAGTAAGTAATGGACCAGAGTGGTAGCAAATACAAAAGAAAGATTAAGAAGAGAATACCTGACCCTCTAGTGAAAGAGGGTATTTATAGTGAGACCCCAGCGCAGGGCCAACAATCACTTGTGTTAGGCTGGATTACCAGGCCCAACCCAGGTGACTGCTAGGAATTACGTGGCGTAGTGAAGACCAGAACGTGGTCTTCACCCTAGTTCAACCGTCTCGTGATCTCCGGAAGGTGGGCTGACCAACTCTTTCGGAGGTGGGTAGTTGGCTGATGACGTGTCTTCGCGGAGGGAGCACGTGAAAAACGTGTGGAGGACACATCGTTCTGCCCGATTAAAGGAGTGTCCTGGTCGATGGGGTACCTGTGCTCAACATAGGGCCAATTAATCCTGTTTGAACCCTCCCAGTATATCTCTGAACTGGGCCTAGGCCCAGCCCAACCCTGAACACATATCATAAATTTTAATTGTACTATAATAAATTATTTTTTTATGTTAATAAAAGCGAAAAACTTCTGAAAATTTGTTTTTCATTGATAAAATTTTGAAATTATGAAAATGTACGAAGTAAATGGGGTGCCATGTTAAATTCACGTTAAATTAGTGAGTGGAATATTGCTCCAAACTTCAGGCCCCGAATCCTAAAGTTTTCACCCAAGTGTGTTAGTCTTATGCAAGATTCTTTCAAAGTTGAAATTTTTATATTCATTATTTTAGAAAACAATATTACATAATAACTATGTTTTACAAAATTAGAAAACTTTTACTAAAAAATAATCTGAAAGCCAATAAATATCTCATGAACCAAACATTATCATACTAATTTTAATTTAAAAAGGGGTTATCTTATCATGTGGACCAAATTGATCCCAACAAATATTGAATTGTATCTACCCTTAATATGGACCAAATTCTTTGACACGTATATATCGACCAAGTCATGACAGAAAACTAATACTCTAATATAAAAAACACAAACAAGTTGGACTAATCTTTTATCAAAATCTTATACTCAATTAGTTACTTTGAGATTCAATCAGTCATGGTTTCTTCAAACACTTTGTCTCTTTCTCTATTCTTATTCCTTTCTTTCTCTTCCTTCTTCTCTCCCTCACAATCTCACACCAAGGTTTCTCTAGAATTATACTATGAAAGCTTGTGCCCTTACTGCGCCAATTTCATCGTTAATTATCTTCCTCAAATCTTCGAACAGGAGGACCTTTTATCCATCGTTGACCTTAAACTTGTTCCTTGGGGTAATGCTAAACTCAGAGATAACTCTACTATTGTTTGCCAGGTAATTTTCAATCTTGTTTGGTTATAGTTATGCATGTGATTTGTTGTTTGATTGATTAGTTTGTGTTTGGTGATCGATGAAAATTGCAGCATGGTGAATATGAGTGCTTGCTAGATACGATTGAAGGGTGTGCTATTGATACCTGGCCTCAACCGGTAACAATTTCTTTGCCTTTGGACAAATCTCACTCATATCATATCGAAAAGATTTAAACATGTAGTGAAGTAATGTCATAAAAAAAAAGACATTAATTTTAATTAGAATATTTTCTACTCTTTTAATTATAGATAGATAAATGAATGTCAAAAACTTTTATATATGTATCTATGTAACCGCGTTGTGTCTTATATTATGTTATCAGTGTCTGAATCGGAGTCTGTGCTTTATAGTTCTGTATACCAATTATTTATAAGGTTGTTGCCTTTTTACAGAAGAAGCATTTTCCTTTCATCTATTGTGTTGAGAATCTGGCGCATCAGGGTCGGCGCGAAGAGTGGGAATCTTGTTATGAGAAACTGGGTCTGGATTCATCAACCGTCAATGATTGTTATCGTAGTGAGCATGGAAAAGAGGTTAGTTTTTTCTGCTGTAATATGATATTTGAGTTATGTTGTATTCATAGATAACGTATGGCTTCTTTGTTGTAATTATTACCAAAAGATACACTAGCTAGAAACTGTTACATTAGTATAGCTTCTGAACACTTCATGCTAGTTTGGAAAATGTTATCCACACACAGTAACAAAGTTATGATAGATGGACCAATTTTCAGGAACAATTGCCATCTCAAGCAAAATTGTGACAGTTAATCTTTTGCTAGTGACAATGCTTTTATCTAGCATTATGATGTTTTGTCTACTGCTTATCATGTCTATCTTTTTTTATGGTAAATAAAAATGAGTCAGAGTCATATGACAGATGAGCTTTCGTGTCTATATACCATTGTTTAGCCGATTTTTCTCTCACAAGTTATGATTATCATCTATGCAGTTGCATCTAAAGCATAAGGATGAAACAAATGCTCTACAGCCTCCTCACACTTACGTTCCATGGGTAGTCGTGGATGGAGAACCACTTTACGATGTAAGTCTTGCGATTCCGTTGAACTTTACATATACCTTTATCGGCCGTCTTAAGCTTTCAGAGATCCTGAGTAGGTTAGCGCTTAATTGTGGCAAAACAAATAGGAACCTTATTTTGCCATAGTTTAAGCGGGATATATATTTTATGAGATTCTATTTAACCACGTTTTAATCGTGTCAAATTTTAGATTTGTATAGTAGTTTGACTTAAACGTCTTTAAAGACGGTCCTGACCTTTATGAAATGAAGTGTCTTACTGTCATAATAAAATAAATTATGAGTTAAATTACACATGTCCGGGAACTCATGAATTTGCAAATTTCTTTGCTGTTGCTGCAGGATTATAGAGACTTCATAAGTTATATCTGTAAGGCTTATAAAGGCAATGATGCACCAAAAAGCTGCACCCAAACATCAAATATTAGGACTGCTGGAAAAGTGGAAACAAAGGCAAAGCATCTATACTGTGTTATGGAAAAAGTGATGCCAACATGGAATAAAATAAGGTCAACCATTGCCTCATGGATGAACCAGATGAACCTTGTGTAACTTATAGTACTTTCTTAGCTATGTGTACTTTTTTTTCTGTTTCAACTTTCTACAATTGATTTGGATGAATGTGGTTTTTCTAAAATAGCTAGTAACATACCCTTGCGTCTGCACAAGTACATAAACTTTTGTGTAGTAACGTTGGCTGTTTGATATGTAATATGATGAATACTATTAATTAAGATAAATAATGATAAGAATGTGTAAACGTTAATAAATTGATTGTAGAAATTACAATAAGTTATAAATAATGTTCAAACTAAAATTCAAAAGGCAACAATTTCATTCATGATACACAAGACAATTAATTGAACCTCCCAGATAAATAAAATTAAGATCGGAATATAAAATTTATTAGAGTTAAATTAAAGTAAATTATATAAATATTGTAAATAGATATTTGTGTAATATGTATTTATTATATGTTTTGAAAAACTTCTTTGAATACAACATTTGTGATTGTTTTCAAAACTTGTTTCAGTTTGTTATGAATTAAATTTTCAATCCCTACTTGCTTTTGACTCTAGAGAATGCAACATATAGTTGACTGGAACTATAAATTTTTTTATGTAAGTATAAATCAATATAGTCTAAAGATTGTCTCTGAGACTTATTAATAGTCATGGCAAAAGAGACAATAATTGAAAATTATCTTCTTACAAGTTTGAAAGATCATGGTGATTGGGAAGGGGGCGAGAACATTTTTGAGATATAAATAATATTTCTAATATTAATTCTTGAAATTATTTTAGCTTCAATGACATAATTAACAAGTCTTGTAATGGTTAGTCTTATATCGTTGCAAACCCATTAAATTGATCCAAATTTCTCAACAACATAATAGTTGTGCCTATTTTAAACTTTATAGAATAATTTGACAAACCTGAAATTTTCAAACAACTTAAAAATTTAAGAGTTAAATATTCAAAAACATTAAAGTCATATACTTCATATCTGTCAAGTAACAATAAATTGATAATTCTCCATGAGACAACATTCAAATCAATTTGTTTTTAGACCGAAATGCAGTAGAAAAGTAGAAAAGATGTTCTACCTAAAGGTTTTACCTATAAAAAAATAAAGATAAATTATAATTCTTCATAATAAAGTAGTACAAATATGAAAGGATAAAAAGTTAAAAATTACATTTCTTAAGGAAGTAAATATAATAGTATTTGAGTTTCTTCTAAATGATCTTTAGCCATGAGATTGAGAAGCAGTAGAAATTAAAATTAAATTGTGAGTTTGTTCTACATACTTACAGTTAGTGATACACATGGTTATAAAGTATGCCAATACATTAGTGATGCACATGGCTATAAAGTATGGCAATACAGTAGTGATCACGGGCAGTGGCATTTTCAATTTTAAAAGGACATGGCTATAAAGTAGTCTCATTCTGTAGTTATGTTAATTGAATGATGCATAATAATTAGCCATTTTGATATATTGATTAATTATAACATTCATAGCATGGCATGTATAACATATATTGTTGTTGAACATAAACTACGATGTCTATTAATTAATGTGAGTCTTAGATATAGCAACATAAATATATTGTAATATTAGAGACCAATATGCATAATAAAAGATAAATACATATAGCAACATAAATTTAGCCATAATAATTAAATTAGAAACCAACATTGACATGTAAACTACACCCTATACAATATTTTATGCTAACTTACAAAGTCCATGAAAGGTGAAAACAAAAACACATTCACTATAAGAAAAGTTGTGTCCAGCCACGTGATTTAGTGAAGTGAAAATTACGTGGCAAAATATTGACAGTTGTATCTTGTTTAATACTAAAATAATATGAAACAAATATAACACATGGCCTGTCAGATTTAAAAATTAAAAAAAACTTTAGTGACGTGAAAATCACGTCGCAACATATAAATTAAAAAAAATAATAACTAAAACGACATATCTATTGAAGCGGGAAGAGGAAAATTTTTAAAATTTAGTTTGCCACGTGAATATCACGTCGCAACCATTTAAGAGGGAAAAATATCTGACTTAGAAGTAATGGTTAACTGTGGTGCAGGTTGTAAAAATGACCGTTGGAACTTTTGTGACGTGAATATCACGTGGCAAAGTTGCGAAGTGATATTCACGTCGCTACCCAATTAATGTGAATAATTAAATATTAGTCGTTATATGTTGCGACATGAATTTCACGTGGCAAATTTGCGATGTGAAATTCACGTCGCTAATATTTTATTTATGGCACGCGTGACAATTCCTGAGACCACACTTATTCCACTTCTTTTTCTTTCTCTCTCTCTCTGTTGCTTCTTCTTCTACAAATTTCTTCTCTTTTGTTCTTCTTCTTCCAAAAAATTTCTTTGTTTTTCTGAAGTTGTTTCTTGAATTTGCTTGTACAGTAATATATTTTTTCTTTCCTATAATTATTGTTGAATTTTATTTTTATTAATTTAGTTTAAAATGTAATTTTATATGAGTTTAATATTTGATTTTGTTGTTGTCAAGATATCATTGTTAGTGAGAAAAGGAAACAAGAAGGAGGTTGAAGAAGATCGAAGGAGTGTGAAGGAGAGGTATTTTTGCTATTTAATTTTTTATTTTAGTTTGATTTAATAATGTTGGATTGTTGTTAATATTTTTTTGTATGTTTATATTATTATTATTATTTATTATTAAAAAACGAATTTTGTAGAAACATTATTAAAAATAAAACAAATTTTTGTTTATAAATGAGAGAAGTGAGAAAAGGAAAGAAATTTTTATATATAGTAACAATATAGAAAACTGAATATTAAAAATGAATTTTGTAGAAATATTATTAATAATAAAACGAATTTTTGCTTATAAATGAGAGGAGTGAGAAAAGGAAAGAAATTTTTATATATAGTAATAATATTAAAAATTGAATATTAACAATATTTTTAATTTTTATGTGTTATTAAATTCTTTTATGTTTAGTTACTCTAAAAACTGAATATTAAAAACTAAATATCTTATTTTTAATCTTTTATAGAAATAATATTATATTTATATTATTATTATTATTATTTGTTATTAAAAACAGATTTTTGTTATTAATTAGAAATAGAATAATATATTTAGAAATAAAATATTAAAAACAGAAATATATTATTTTTAATGTTTTATTTATTTATTGGTTATAAAATATTAAAAACAGAAAATTAATAAAATATAAAATTAGAATGTTAAATTTATTTTTAATTTTTTATTATTTTAATATTTATGTGTACTAAAACCAAAATTTTATATATAGTAACAATATTAAAAACTGAATATTAACAATATTTTTAATTTTTATGTGTTATTAAATTCATTTATGTTTTATTACTTTAAAAACTAAATATTAAAAACTAAATATCTTATTTTTAATCTTTTATAGAAATAATATTATATTTATATTATTATTATTATTTGTTATTAAAAACATATTTTTGTTATTAATTAGAAATAGAATAATATATTTAGAAATAAAATATTAAAAACAGAAATATATTATTTTTAATGTTTTATTTATTTTTTGGTTATAAAATATTAAAAACAGAATATTAATAAAATATAAAAACAGAATATTAAATTTATTTTTAATGTTTTATTATTTTAATATTTATGTGTACTAAAAACAAATTTTTATATATAATAACAATATTAAAAACTGAATATTAACAATATTTTTAATTTTTATATGTTATTAAATTTATTTATGTTTTATTACTTTAAAAACCAAATATCTTATATTTAATGTTTTATAGAAACAATATTATATTTATATTATTATTATTATTTGTTATTAAAAACAGATTTTTGTTATTAAAAACAAATTTTTATATATAGTATAAAATTATATATTAAAAACTGAATATTAAAAATCAAATATATTATTTTTAACGTTTTATTTTTATTTGGTTATATTTACATTAGAAACAATATTATATTTATATTATTATTATTGGTAAGAAAGGGGGACAAAACTCTATTTCAAAGAGTTAGAGATGGCGAGGGATCGTCACATCCACCACAATTGACCTCCGAGATGCTAGAAACGGTAAGACAATTGGCGCTAACTGAACCGAGCAACAACATCAGATATGTTAGAACACAGATTGGTTCTTAATAATATCTCTTTGTTTTGATGATAACTGTTAGGAAATTTTGTATTTAAGAATTATATACTCTAAAATTTGCTTGAGAGTTTTACTGCAGATTGTAATGAAATTAACACTCCAGAAGCAAATCTGAATTATATACAAGAAGTTATCTTAACTCTGAAGCGCCAGATGCACTCATTAGAAGATTCTGACTGCTGCTTACAGAAGTTCCTGAGCGTAGCCTCCAGAAGGATCTGAAGCAAGAAGCTCCAGAAGACTCTGAAGCAGAAGCTCCAGAAGAATCTGAAGCAAGCAGATGCATCTGAAGCAAAGAAGAATATTGCATGAAGAGCCTCTCAAAGCATAGTTTCTACAGAAGCTTCTGAAAGTACTAAAGCTGTCAGTACTGAAGTTCTGTGTCAAACATGCTCTGATGATCAACACGCTGAAAGCACACATGCTGCAGAAGACTCTGATACAACAATGTTCTGAACATCATTAGAAGACTCTGACTCAATCAGATTCTGATGAACTTGCTGAAAACTGAAGAAGAATTATTCAAAGATTATATCCGTTGGAGTAAGTCAAACGTCTCTTTCCTCATTTGTGCTAGACACAAGAACACAGACAAAAAGGATTTTTCTGTGCCTTCTACTTCTAGGAAAGGTCACTTGATGTAAAGACAAAAAGGCTCCGACCTTTTTGAGACACTCTTTTCAACGCTCAGCTCTCCTTGGATCAGCTGCCTATAAAAGGAAGACTTCACCAAATTCTTCAGTGAGACAATTTGCTGAAAAGAAATCATATTATTCAAAGCTCTCATTCTTTCATATTCTTCTAAGAATTAATTGTACTTAAACTTAAGAGAAAAATCACTGTTGTGATAAAAGCTTTTTA